ACATTTGAGGACTAAGGAGTTAACCTCCAATTGGTCACCAAAGCAGAAAGGATTCGTTACAAAGAAAAGAATTAGATTTTCAACACCAATTGAAGGATTTATAAACGATGACATTCCAGGTTGATCTACAGTCTTCTCTTCTTGAAAATTTCTTCTGTTGCACTCCAATCAAGTGTTCCGAAGTAAGGCAGAGAAAGCATTCAGCTACAGTGTCTTCTTGTTCTTTTTAAACCTCTGACTAGTCAAGCCACGAATCACCAAGTCTTAATGGTGTCTAGAAAAAGCCCACTGCAAGTTAAAGATATCTAACTGCTTGGACCATAGTTTTCTGAACGCTATCACAAAGTCAGGACTAGTTTGGATTTAGATAGCAGGATGATTTTTTTAATTGAAATTTATCATTGGTATTATGACCTCCAAGGGTTAGCAACCAAGAGAATACTTTAACACTTTTTAGGGACTGTCCCAAGATATTTACAAAAGAGAGCTGAAGGACTAGTACACTAGAAATATCTAATTTAGTGGCCGATATGGTAGATCAAACCCTTTGTTCTAGCCATTCATCCAGAGGTGTAGTTCAGCCTGTTATCTAGAGCTACCAACCCTTTACACTCTCAATGATGTGCTCTGGTTCTGTAACTCCTTTATGTAGTCCGTTGGCTTGGGCTCTCTTTCATATAATGAACATCAAAATAAACCATGATTCAATTGAAAATTTAGACACAATTCTTTAAATTGGAATAACACTTAAAGATATTGTTTCTGTTCATTTGCACTTTAACTGATACCAAAAATGATAAGGATATGATTCATCTCTCCTTTTCGATGCTATGTGGTTGGCTTGAAGCAAGTTGGCCCAAAACACTCCACTCATGGATTAAGTATGTATGTATGTATATATATGCCACTCATGGATTAGTAAGTAAGTAAGTATGTATATATATATATGTATATATTCACACACACACACACACAAACAATGCAATGTTTTAAGTACTGTCATATGCTATCATCACTTTTCAACCATATGAGGATCAATAAGATATTTTCTTCCAACATGCCAAGCCAAATCAATTAAGTTCAGAATAATGAAGTCAAGCTTTGATATCGTGTTGCTTTACTTCTGTTGATGATCTGGAAAGGCAAACGTATTGAACAAGTAAACAATTTTGTTAGAGTTACAAACTTCAAATGAACCTGGTAAATATCTCTACACTACAACTGTACCAAATCACACCGATTGAGACTTGTTTAAAGTTTCAATCTGCACGGGGAAGCAAATTTGGTTGAATATACTTGGATCAACCTTGCTATTTGTTATTTGCCTCCCTGGGAAAGTTTCTGTTGGTATTTTGTTAGTTTTCTGTTTGTATTTAGAAACTTAAAACTTACCAATGTAGGTGACATGAGGTCTGTTTTCTTTTCATTATTTGCTTCTGCAGGGAGATGATCCAACACAGGCCTTACACCCAGAAGGTGGACTTGTACAGCTTTGGCATTGTTCTCTGGGAGCTCATCACTGGAATGCTTCCATTCCAGAACATGACAGCCGTGCAAGCCGCTTTTGCGGTCGTCAACAAGGGAGTCCGTCCTATAATACCTAATGACTGCTTACCTGTTTTGAGCGACATCATGACCCGGTGCTGGGATGCCAACCCTGATGTTAGGCCATCGTTTACCGAGGTCGTCCGGATGCTCGAGAATGCACAGACTGAGATCATGACAACCGTCCGTAAGGCCCGCTTCAGGTGTTGCATCACGCAGCCAATGACAACAGACTGATACTAAGTTTAAAAAACAAAAAACTGAACACATTGGAAACGTTAAGATCAATAAGGAGGGAGAGAGAGAGAGAGAGAGAGAGAGAGAGAGAGAGAGAGAGAGAGAGGGAGAGAGATGAAGAAGAAACTGGAAAAAGGAGGAGAAGAAGAGGCAGATGCAAATAGAAGGTGATTTGTCAGTGTGCTATCTTTGTGTATTTATCCTATCAGATTTTTAATTTCTCTTTTCAGACATATAGAAAGGAAAAAAACTGATTAAAAAAAAAAGAACAAAAAAAGGAAGTTTATGATGAAAACTTTGGAGCTTGTGGTTTTGAGTTTCCTATTTTACTGGATTCCTGTTGGCGACTTAACCATTAAAGAGGAGATTTGACGTGTATGTATACAACTTGTACTTGCTCTATTTTATTATCTTAATTTCACTATTTATCTATTTTTAATTCTAATGGATGCCAAACAGATTCTTAAAACTGGTCTACCAGCAGGAATCTTCTGTTCAAATTTTGCATTGTGGATGCTACTTCTCAAGCAAAATGGTTCTGTTCTGTTTCATTCATTTCTTCTTTATCATGTCAGATTTAGGGATAAAATAGAATATTGAGAATTTAGGGATCAATTTTAAAAATATTATTTAAAAGTTAATGGACCAAACATAGAATTTAAAGTTACATATATATGTATTATTCTTGATTTCAATGTAGAAACTAGCTTATTTTGAAGCAATAGTATTAATGTATGGAGATTTTTGGATTGGTAGTACGACCATTGGCTATGGTTTTGACAAGAGCAATGCATAATATTTTTTAAAATACAACATGTCACATGAGTACAATTCAACTGGTTAAAATATAAAAATAACTTTACTTTTGTGAGGTTGCAGGTCCAAATGTTCATTTCTTAGGATTCTCGTCTTAGGAATCAAATTATAGAGTAAATCTTGCCACTACAAAGAAGGAAAGTCCAGAGTAATGGAGTGTCGATTCAGGAAACTATAATGGTTGGAGTGTCGATTCAGGAAACTATAATGGTTAAGTTAGTGATGGCAAGCAGCTCTAAAAGTATTCAAAACTACTTGCATAGCTAAAATCAAATCACCATATATCCCCTTTGGCTCTTTTCGAGAGGGTCGTAGGAAGTGGTTGACAACTTATTAAACCACCCAATATAAATGCAACTATGATCAACCATAAATCAAATAGGCTGAGATGGTGAGATATGTGGGACTTTGTAGGGTATTTTATTGGAATTAGGGGGGAGTCAAAATTTTTCTTACAGACCAAAATTTTTATAAAGGTTGATGATTCGATCTCATATCCATCCCCATGACTGTCAAAAATTTTAATTAAAATAAGAGAGGGATAATTGCCTCTCTCGTTCCTTTTTTGCTCAGCCCCTAATTACCCGTCTTCTAGCAAATCCTTACCAAATGGCATCCCATTCGTTAAAAAATAAATTTGAATTCTTAGTTAAAATATAGAAAACAAAATCAAAATTTTTAGAACTACATTTTGTAGTTTCTAAAATCTGACTTAGAGATTTCGAAAATGTTTTTAAGGGGTAAGTAATAAAATAACTAAACACACCAGGCTTAATTTTAAAAAGTAAAAAATGAAATAGTTATCGAATGAATTTTGGAGAATCAAATAAGGAGTTGCCTCACACCAGTCTCAGCAATCTTGCCTAATTTTTTGTTCTTTTACATAAGAAAAAATTTCATTTATGATATGAAATTATCAATCAAATCTAAAAATTATACCATTGAATCATAATGGTTACAACAACCATCCAATTGTCCCTACAACTTTGAAATTTGTAGGGTTAATTTTCTAATATAATCGTTTCATTTCCATGAACATGTAATTTCAAACTATTTCACAAGATGACTCAAAAACTTTTGAGGGAGTAAAAAGAAAACTTTTAAGAAATAAAGTTTTACCCCTAAACTGGGTGAGATGCATAAGCTTTTACCTTAAACTTCTAATTTCATGAAATTGAACTCTAAACTTAAATAAATGTTACAATTTTCACATTATATTCAATTTCAGTTAATTCGTCCACTAATTTCAATAAAATGTGAAAATCTTCAACAGCTCACTAATTTCAATGAAAATCAAGTTTGAAACAATTAAGTCGAGTCAATGGACGGGGTTACCCCGCCAAATCTCACAAACTTCAACAACAAAATCAACAAAACTTATAAGTTCCAATCAATTTCGTAATCCGCTACATGTTTTACAATTTATTAAACGCATATAAGAGACTTTTTTCAAACTACCAAAAAATAAAAACTGCAATATTTATTCAAGTTGATGGTAAAAACTCCAGCATTTATCCAACGTTAAGTTGCAACATGATGAAATTGAAAGCTTAAGACAGAAATGAATGCATCTTACCAAGTTCAAGGGTAGAAGTGGATCTTTTTCCCTTATTTAAAAGCACAAATGCCCCCATATAAATAGAAGAAAAAGAAGAAACTTTCAAAGTTTCAAGTTTAATATGAGATTCATTAACTTGCCTGCATGAAGAACTAAAGCAATAATCCCAAGAGGAAGTGCATTTCAGCATGCTGCAAATCTCTTAATAAGCTCGTGTCTTCATTCTCAGATTTTATTACTGCAAAATGCAAAAACTCAAGTATCCAAAGTTACTATAGCAGAGAACAGTGAAAACTACATTCTTCATACAATTATACCGTTCTCTCAAATGGTATTATGAGCCCAATTCACCAAAATTGAAAGAGTAAATGATTAATGGCGCTTCATTTCCTGGAACAAATTCGCCACTCTTGGTGATAATCTTGGCAAAAATTTAAACAGCTGTTGCATAGAAAAACAAATGACAATTATCAATGTCTGAAGGAAGAAAAAGAAATAATATAGTGGCAACACTTGACAAATCAGCTACTGTTGATTAAGAATGAATCCAAGTTTCTAATCATTTCATACACATATTAGCTTCCCCAGCGGCTTTTGATCCATGAACACATCCAAATTAAAAGATAAGATGGAGAGAATAATAAGCGTGAATATTTTTTGCCCCAACCTCAATAGGATGCTGGATAGAACCAAGGAAGAAATTTAACTTTCGACTTTTGTTTTGATCCACAAAGTATTGCTCATTTTTCATTTTGGATCCTAATTTTTTAAAATTATGTTCTAGCCCTTGAAGCCTTTAGTTCATCTCACATTGATCCGTACTGTTGAGAAGGTTGAATGTCACTACTCTTATAAAATTAACGATACCACATGGAGATAGGTTTATGATTATAACATCATTTCATAACTTAAGGATCAATGGGATATCAGTTAAAACTCCAGAGATTAAATAAGTTAAAAATATTAAAACTAGACAAAATTACAAGTAATGCTTGATAGCCATGGCGAGAAAGAGGGAAGGCTGAAAAATTGGGTTGTATTTGTAGTTAAACAAATTAATCAAAAGAGCCAATTTAAACTTAGTAGATAAGACACCTATTACCATCCTAAATATCAATAGTTTGATACCCCATCCTTGCAATGGTTGATCTAAAAAAATAATAATAAAGAGAGATAGGAGCTCTGTGTGTGGGCATTGAGTGTGAGGGGTAGGGCGCTTGGTGTGGAGAGACTAGAGAGATGGGAGCTTGAAGCAGGTTTTCTGTCCGGACTTTTTTCAATCCAGAAAGCGGGATGGAGGGGAAAGAAACAGGAAGGATGAGAAGAAAAAAGAAAAAGGGTGAGAGATGAGGAGGGGGAAGGGAGATGTGCCCAAGTGCAAAGTTTTTAGACAGTTAACAAGTTTGTGTATTCTTTTTTTCTAAATCTTGCCATATCACCTAAATTAAGGAAGGAAAACTTAGCATTACAGGCAGCTAGTCAATATTTTGGTCAGCCTACATAACGATTATGTTTACAATTTTGAAAATCTCAGGTTTAGAATGGAACATCCTGAAACCTATAACTAAATAGAATCAGTTATGAAATCCCATGAACCAAAAAGGTATTTATCCTTAATTGTTTTACTTTAAAATTCTCCATAAAAAAACTAAGAAAATAATATGATCTCTAAGATCTTCAAAATTTCTTTTGAATTGGAGCCCATTCTTGGATAGGTTAGCTTAGAGTTTGTGGGGCTCCTCTTCTGATTTTTGTATGACCTTTACTTCTTTCATTTTTTTTCTCAATGAAAGCTTGATTTTTCTAAAAAAAAAAAAAAAAAAAAATCCAAAATTTCTAGATATATCATTCACGTGCCTCAGCCCTTAATTCAGGTCAGGTGTGAAAAATAATATAGGTAACGGGAAATATATGTCAAACATACCCAAAGTTTCACACATGCATCCATGATAACTGGAACCAGGCATATAAAGATGGTTATAGCAGACTGATCAACCTCAAGGCCGTAGTGTTCAACAATTATCTCTAACAAAGTCTGCCATCCCGATTCAGAATGATACCTGCCAGCATGAATTTTTTAATAGCACCCCTAGTTGAGTAATTGTATTGCAATCATCAAATTCATAGGAGAATTGTACAATGTAATGGTGAATACATAATAAACATATGTAAAATATAGAACAAGAAAACCACATGTTGAATATTTTGACTTAAATTTGCTAATGTGATCATATGGTTTGTTCTTATGAAATCATAACTACATGTTTATGTAGGTTGTTTTACCATTAAGCAAATGGCATTCATCAAGTGTAAGCATTTTCTCAAATAATTTGCAATTTGAGTTATGTTTCATGTCTTCTCGACTGATTTGTGCAAACCACTCTGTGCTCTGGTCAAACTATATAGAAGGTAATTCACCTAAGCAAGTTTTGCTCACGCCAAGTCAATCTAAAATAGCTACGAATTTTTTGATTCTTATCCTTCTAAGATTTCGTTCAGGTTAAAGGCCTAATCTAACTAGTAAATAGTAATCCTTTGACTAACTGAATAAGGATAAATTTTTCTCTACATGCCCTTTAGAGGTGAAAAAGAGAGGACAAATCTTGAGAGAACAAAACAACTAAATTCAAACATATTTGTTCTATTCTTTGCATTAGAATTCTAGAGATTTTCTTTGTCCAATTCAGCTTCTCTTCGGATCATGAATTGAAGATCTCGATGGATGGAGTTCGAGATCAAGGCTTTCTTATATGTGCGGGTTGTGGCATTTGAAATATTATGATAATTCATGATCCCTTAAAAGAGTGACAGGTAACTCATGAAATACACAAGAGAGTTGTAAGATCCAAGTCTTTTACACTGCTTTAAAAGTTCTTGGCTTCCTTCAATGTCATTCTCAACTCAATCCCAATATTTTTGGAAAAACATATACTACATCAATTTTTTCTTCTATACATCAATATAGAGATTGCAATTAATAATTAAGTTGAAATTTTAAATTTTAAGATAAACCCTTAATTTCAAATTATTTTTATCTACACTGATCTACCTTTTTTACAGTGTCTCTCAATTATTATGACTCTTATTATTGAGGGTCTCAAACCCCCTTGCCACATTCTGCAAGCATTACTTATCTTAGAAAAGTCTATGTTACAATAGGTAAGAGAAGCCAAATGTGGTCAAGAGACTGGATCTTGAGATCAGAAAATAAGAACTCATCTAGGCTTTTTTCTATGCAGAAGTACTCTAGATTGACAGTGATATAGATAACCATGTCTGGTAAAAAACAAAAGAATAAATTTAGAATCACGGTAGTAGATGGAAAGAATTGATAGAACATTAGTAAAGACTGAATAGTTACCCTAAAAAAATATCTGTAATTAGTATAATTAAAAATGCCTTCCCAGTATCTGAAATATTACTTATTATTTTATAACCTGTAAATTTCAACAATGCTACCTGCAAAATCCACGGATGAAAAAGAAAATTGATTAGTGGTAGAACAGATTGCATAGCATAATTAATAATATTTCTGAAGCAAAATAATAATAAAAAAAAATTTCAAAAAGAAAAATTATGATGTTTAGACTTCAAATATAGTTTTGTTTCGATTCCCATTCCTACTGTTGATATGACAATATTATAACAGAATTGGTACAGATATTGTGACATTTGACATGGCAATGCTCAACCAAAATGAAATTGGTATTATTATAGTTGATCTACAAAAAATAATTATAAGGCCCATGAAGTTCGAGGGGGAGATAGTCTATTCTGAATAGAGACCACGAAAGTCCTTGTCCAATAACTGAAGCAGTAATAGATCCTTTCTAGAATCCAGCACGTATTTAAACAACACCACCACTTGACTTTGCTTTAACCCATATAAGAACTGCAAGATATCTCTAAACCCCAATGAAGATTTTCCCTTTTGGCTTCTTCTTTTTCTCTAGCTTTACTCTTTTCAACCATGAAGATTAAGTTCAAGAGATTCCATGAATTTTAGTCATTGTAAAATTGAGAACAAGCCTGACTGAGGACAAAAGGAAATCTTATTCTTTTATCATAGTGTGAAAAGAAAGGAGTTTCGGTGGTTATTCAAGAGGGTTACTTGTACAGAAAGGTCATGCTGGGTACAAAAGATTTCTAATCAGTGTGCAAACCTTTTGTGGTTGGAAGAGGTTTTTGAGGGTCATGCAGAAGGGTCGTGCTAAGTACAAGAAATTTTTAATCAATATGGTTAACTCCTAGAAGTGACCATATCATCTAATCAGGGGGCAAGGAGAAGCATGTGTGTTCCTGCTGGCAAAATTTTGGATGGATTCGTGATTCTTTGGGAAATGTTTAGGGATTTAAAAAGATTTATAGGAGGAGAGATTTTAGAAGTAGAAACTGCTGAAGGAAGATTGCCGGAACCAAGAACTTCTGAAAGAAGCGAAGTAAAAAAAAGGTGGCTAGAGAGTGGAGCAAAAGATGGACAGAAATGTGAAATAGATGTGCAGGGGACAAAAAGAAAACTTCTTGAGAAATAGAATGAAAGTACAAAGTTGTAAGGGGAGGAGCAAGAAACACAAGAAGTGTTAGAATTTGCAGTTATGGACTGAGGTATTACCATAGTGATCACTATAAGGCATTTCCATGATGATTGGCACTCAATAACGCACCCTAAGGGACATGGTTCCAGGATCAACCTTGTTGAATCCATTTGAGGCTGATAAAAGTGCAATTCAGATGCAAAGATAAAGCAGAGGGTGCTTTAATTTGCAAGTCTAATGGTTGGAAGGCAGTTGGTAATTCTTTTTTTTCCCTAAAATCTGAAAAGTAGAATTCTCAAAAGCATGGCAGAACAGAGGTTACTCCAAGCTATGGGAATGGATCAGCCCTCCGATGGATCTGCCTTAAGACCATCTCGTACACACTTTTCCAGCAATTTTTTTTTTAATAAGAAACCGAACTTTTCATTGAGAAGAATGAAAACAAAACAGAAAGACAAGGGCAATTAACAGCCTCTATACCTTACACAACCGTTTAGCCAACATGAAATTCGAACCCATTTCCCTAAGGTCTCTTTATTTATTTATTTATTAATTTTCTGGGGATGAGTGGATCATGTTGTTCATTTAATAAGGTCAATGGCAAGATTGGAGAGAAGTTCTATCATGGAAAGGTAATTAAAGAAGGGGTGGCCAAAAAGCAAGGACATGTATACAATATGACACTGATGCAGTGACACATTAAGTCCTAAAAATCTAGAACATCGACGTGACAAGGACACGTTTATCGTCGTTGTTGTTGTTGTTGTTGTTGTTGTTATTATTATTATTATTATTATTATAGATTTTAATGATTCTCATGCTAAAAGTTTATTCTAGTTTAAATGCATACAATATTTTATATCAAGATAGATCCCAAATACTTCAATCTCACTAATAAATGCCTATGCACTTATGCATCTATGACCCAGGGTAAATCTTATAATATTTCAATCTCATTAATAAAAGCTAGAGGGAGAAAGCAGGATGTAACTTACTTTACTTTGATTGAAGTACAAAAGAACGAATAATGAGATCCCAAATACCATGTCTGACCATATATTAGCAAATGCTTTACGGTTCTCTAACCTCCACTCATCTCTCAATGATAACCTGTTGAAGCAGCAGTAGCACCGACCAGAAAAAATTGTAAACAGGGTGTCTTTAAACCAAATGGAAAAGCGTTTATACAAGAATCACTGTATACAAACTAATATACGCATGATCTATGTATGTATATATCTATGATGTATGAATGCAGTATGTACAATTTTTGTGTATGTGTGTAATCTCAACCAAAAGCTACAAAACAGCACATGTAATTATCCCATGAGTCTATGACACCCTTTTAAATTAATTGCAAAAGGTCGCCATGTGCATAAACATGTTGATTATTTTCATGTATGAAAATGAAAATGAAAATGAAAAATATTAATTGACACAAATACCAAGGTTCAGCATTTGTGTGAATTGCAGCTGTGGGATGAAAGGAAAGATGAATATGTCGTTTGCTAAAAGGTGCTTTAATAATAATGTATAGTTGAATTGGTGATACAACGGGAACTTAGGGAGCGCAACTAGAAATTCCCAATAAAAATGTCGACTAACAAAAAATAGTATTCTTCATTAATTTTGAAGGTGAAAGGACACTAGCTCGCCCTTTAATGATATGCTTACTAAAGAGAAGATTTTCTCTTGGGTTTTTCGAAGAATCTTTAATGGTTATAGGAAAAGGCAGCAGGCTTTATAGGCTTTATTGGCATTGGTGGTTTAAAAAGCTATTCATTTCATATTAAAGGTTATTTTCTGTCCACGAAGTCTCTCTATGGAATTCGAGGAGCTCCTCGTTTAAAACAAGTGATAATAGCTATTTTTTGGATTCATAGGTTTGTTGCCTGCTTTCTTCCTTGCTTTGTCATTTAAAGGACTCTTCTCGGTTTATTTTCCGATGGATCTCGTAGCCTTAAACCTTTCAGCATTATTTCTTGTATTCTCAATTCTCATCCTTCAATGGGGCCAGAAAATTGGAGAATCAAGCTAATTATGAGAAGGAGCTTGCTGAAGCATTCACCAAATTTTCAATGAAATACAAAGCCTTGTTTTCTGAAAGTGAGTTTGATGAAGATGGAAGATGAAGACGAAGACGGTTTTGTGTGTGCCAAGCCGAAAAATCTTGTTGCAGCTTTTGGAGCTTTGAATCTTCTCTTGCCCCAGCTTGAAGGAATCATTAAAGACTCCTTTGGCGTGCCTTGTTTTTATTTTAGATATTTGTATGAATTGGGAGATATTTATCACTTCATAGTTCATTCTCTTATTTATTTATTTATTTTTTTTTCTTTTAGTTTTCACTCTCTCCCCTTTTTGGGATTGTATCCTTTGAACTTTTGTTTTATTTAATTTTATCAACGAAAAGTCTTGTTACTTGTTCAAAAAATATACAAGAATATCAAAGTTGATGCATGAACTTTTGCAAGAATCTTTGGAACTATAGAAGCTTGCAGTACATAATAAAATTTAAATCCATCTACTAATTGTAATATTAAAATGTCTGAACAGGAAAAAAATTTATGCACCCAATGACCCAAAATGCATGCTACAACGAGAGAATATAATGTGCACCAATAATAGCACGATTTTAAATGTTTCTAATGGTGTGGGTGAATTCTTCAACAATTAAAACCCAAAAATATGAGAAGCTACTTAACAAGAAAAGGTAAAGTTAATGGCATAAATTATTTACTAGAAGGTGAGCACTGATTTAAGGAGAGGAAATAGGTAGAGGAAGAAACCAAAATTAATGACCTAGTTAAAACAAAGGACCCGGCCAAAACTGTGATTCTTTTTAATAAGAACGCATTCGTGAAATGAACCTTTCTTTCAGTCGTACCATAATCACAATTAAAAAAAAAAAAAGATAATAGGATTTACTAAGGATGCTTATATTCTTCCTGTATTCAGCATTTATTTCTCACTAACAAGCTTTAGTTTCTCATTTAAAGAAAACAAAAATTGTGGATGGGAACTTACGCTTTATGCCGTAATTCCCACCATAGCTCTTCATCAGAAAGAGGAGGAGATTTCCCAATTTCCATCTCAAGTTTGAATCTTTCTTTCTCAACTTTTAGCTCCTCAACCATCTCGAGCTTCTGATGTCTTCTCACATCAAGCATCTCTGCAGCCAGTGGCACTTTCTTGACATACCTGTTTGAATTTTAGAATTTAGAAACATAACTGCAGATGACAGAGAAAACTAAGAGCTTAAGAACCATTACCAAAGGGAATCTTTAAAAATGAATTAAGCACAAAATTGAGAATGTACTGATAGGAACTTTAACAAGATCGATTGTTATCTACAATCCTTTAGATAACCTAAAATAACAGAGCTCATGCTTTAAGCAGAACCAAAGTGTAATACTTCCATCTGTTCCTAATCTAATAATATTTAATTTTAGATATCTATATTATGATGGAAGTATAAAATAATTTGAATAAATGGGTAATGGATAGCAAAGAACAATTTTTTTTTAATAACAAATGTCTTTCACGTCCCATTATAGCCATGAATAATCTATGGTAGATAAAAAATGCACTTATATGTATATGAAAATTTTTTCTTATTAGAAAAGCTCTTGAAAACAGTGAAGAAAGAATGAACATGTGATTTGATCATGGTGATTCCTGGACTGCAATTTTAAACACAACTTAAAACTACTGATACGTAAAGATACGGGACAATAATATCAATTTAAAATTTCCCTCTAAAAGACACGACAGATCATAAAGAAAAGCTACCCATCAATTACCTATCAAGAAAGGGCATGAGAACGTAATCATGAACCACAAAATCCAATGCGCAGGGTATAATTATTAGGACTGTCAGAAATTTTGCCTGCAAAATACCAAAATGAAAATAGCTTAGAATAGGAACGATTTTATGTATAGTATAATAACTATTCCCAGAAACAATGTCGGCAGAGAATTCAAAGTGCAAGAAATTTTTTTTAGTTTCAGTTCCCTGTTCAGTGCTATATTTGAATAGAATCCAATCATTAACAAGTGTTCGATCAATGGCTTAATGCTACTGGACAGCTAAAGATCTTTAATATGTCAAATTATTCTGGCCATTTTGCAAGAAGAAAGCAAGTATCCGATTTATATCTAGCCAGAAACTGAGGCATTTGTTAAATGTTCCTCTCAAGATCATAACTACTTTGTTATCCACTGTGTTTTTTACTACCATGCAGCCGAATCTTGGTGGTTGGTTGGTTATTTCTTCCAGCAGTTGTATGTGTTGTACATCATGACCCAACTATCATAGTCCATGCAGCATCATGATTGAACTTTCAACAAAGGCTAGTGGTAACACTTCTCGTGCCTTTTTAATTCTTTGGATCTATTGCACTTAATGAAAGTTCTTTCTCACTGAAACCGAGCCTACAAAATTTGCTACTTGATGGTAGTCTTGAAAATTTTTATAAACTAGCCAAATGGACGTGCATTCTCTAGTATAGCTCAGACTTAGCTTATGCTTCCAACTTGCGTGGAACTTGAACAGCATAATCATGCATGCCACCATAGGTGCATACTTGCTCTCAAGTCATCTTGCCTCTTTTCTTGACCTGACCAAGGTCCACAGTTTACCCTTGCTTCTTCTCTAGGCCAAGGTTTAATGAATACACATACTTGGCTTTATTTGTATGTGAATCACAGTTATCTTGCTTCTATACTGAGCCAAAACACACAAGAGTGCAAGACAAGTCTTGCTCCCAAAAGGTCAAGACATGCTCCATTTAATGTCTGCAGCTTGCCCAGCAACACTATACAAGTAAGGGCAGAGGGTAAGCGTTCACCCTCCCTCAAGCTCTAAACAATAGCAGCATTCCAATCGACAATCATATATCGGCTATAATTACAAAAGAATTTCTTGTGGTTTATAGTCCACCAAGAAGCAATATGTCGTACATTACTACAAAAGTAATCTTCTAAGGACTTTTTATCTTCAAAAAGCCTACGATTTCTTTCTCTCCAAAGAAGACAAAGCAAAACTTAACTGCACAATTGCAAAGCACATAGATTTAGGGAGAGAGAGCCGAATAAGGAAACTTTTTATGTTATCTATCTGCTTGAGAAATAGTATTTCTACTGACAACCACTAATCCAAAAATACAAATACTTCCCTAACCATCAATCAGTCAAATAGACAAATTTTCTTCATCGCATAAAGTGTCAAGATATTGAGCAAAGTAAATATTACCTAAAACAGGGTGCCCTGCCAGAGGAATCTAATAACACCAAGGTCGAGATCAATAAAACAAATTGATAATGCAAATACAACAGAGAATCAGCCCATATAACTTACTTCTCACAAGTCAGTGGGAGTAGTTACCAAATGTGGCACAATCAATGAACTTTTTGCGTAAGGGAAAGGGAAAGATGGACTCTTACAGCACTGGGGAAATTTGAGATGTTATAGACCCAAGTTAATGGTAATGGCATGGCTATTTAGCTCTATGGACAGACGTAAGGTGAAGTTACAGTTTTTACAACGCAGCAAAGATGATTGGGGATGCAGTCAATTCAACATACACCAAACTCTAAACAGGGTAATGATGGCCAAATAAATGAGCTAAGATAAAAGGTTTTGGCTTTATAGAAGTTTCGATTGAGTAGGTTGACGTTACGTTTCCCAAATAAGATTAGGATTTGAAGTCAATATCATACAGATGAATGCCATAACTAATTATAACAAAATTTCAATAAAGTAGAAAACTGAGTTGATTATGAAAGATGTTAATACTAGTCAGAATCTGTCCATTTAAGGTTAACAAATGAGAGCTTACCGAATTTAAGGAGGCATACTGGAATACACGATCTTCATAGAGTATGTCATCTTGTTCCTTCCCGAGAACCAAATCTCTGACGGACTCAACTAGTCCCTTCTCAGGCAATAACTCACTAGCATCCGACAAGTTTTCGTCCAATTCCCCTAGACCATTATCCCAATCTTGACTCCACGAAGTTCGAACATGATTAGTGTCATCATAGAGCCAATCAGTCCACCTCTGACCCTGTTCATTCCTCACATCTTCCTGTGCTTCCTTCAACTCTATAATGGCCTCAGCCCTCTCCTTCCACGCCTCAAATTTTTCATCATCAGACAAATTTTCGTCACTTGCAACACTCTCCAACTCATCCTCCAGCATACCATCATCCATAAGACCTAGCCAATTTCCATCATCGTCAAAAAAGAACTTCTGCCACCAACTCCTTTTCCTCGAATACCCACCCTTCTTCTTGGCATTGAGAACATGCCGAGTGAACCCTTTTCCCTTGAGACCCAACCAAGCCACTTTATTCAAAGAATTGCGCGAAGGAGAATTGAAGACACAAGACACCTTGCAGTCAACAAAAATGAACTGGCGGCGTAATACAATTGAAGTGCTCATCAAGAACATATGCATACACCCACATTTTTCAGCTTTCCAATACGATAATGCACACTAATTTCAACTTCTGGGTCGAAACGAACAGATACAAAAATTAGAAGAAATGAGAGCAATCAGACAAAGAATTCCTCTAGTCTATGTATTATTCACCATGCATATAACTCGAAAAATAAACTGGTAAGAACTGAATAAGATCAAAAGAAACTCAGCCCCGCATTGTCGAAACAAAATCGCTGGGGAAAAATGTTGAGCGAAATTTCTTCGCTCCCGTGACTCCTCCGCTTGTACTGAAGCTGAAGAAGGAAATGAGACTCCGAGGAGAGGATAACGTAGACGTAAGCTACGGCTTGTAGATAATTCCAGAATTACTGGATTTGACTCTTTGACTATTATGTTTTAATTTTTTAATTTTTCAGAAATTGTACACAAGGTCGAACTTCTAGTTCTACTACATGTTGACTTGATTCCTTATTCCTTACTTTTTTGTATGCTTGTATCAAATTTTAAAAGTTTCTATTCCACTACTAAACTTTTTTTATTTTAATTCTATCGAGGGGCGTTTTTGGTTTGCGTGACACGTTAACGTGAATAGGCGTTTGATATTGACTTATCTGGAACATTGGTTGGTGGTACCTTATTGTGATGACATTTGTATTAGTGATATTTTGTCGATGGTCAGAAGATCATTTGTTGGTGGAATTGACATCCTACTGTCTGTTGATGTTGAGCTCTACCTTTAGACACGTTAGTTGTTCCTCCTCATGCTCGATGCTCGATGTGTTCGAATTAAGATTTAGATACAGGTGTCTCAATAGAAGAGGGCCAATGTTGCACTTGATTTTACCCCTTAACCGATTACATATGATAAAAATTGATATTAATGGATTTCAAGTAGTGACATAGGTATGTATTGAGTGGTTGTACGAGTTAATACTTCATTCACACTCAATACATATCTTTAAGTTATTGTCTTACACTGGGTATTCTCTCCTGGGTAAATAATCTCCTTTTTTTCTAATTAAAAACTATTAAATTATAAATTTTTGGTCCCTACAATTTGAAATTCATTTTAATTCAGTCCATAAACTAGTCGTGAATTTATAAGATGTAAATTGAAATTAAGTGGTCAATCGAACATATTTCAACTTAAGAGACATATATCTTCTATCAAAATCAAGGATTCAATCCCATACACATTCAACATCTTTTATTAAGTAATAATTGACAACATTGTAATAATATGTAAAAAATAGTTATTTTTGTGTGAAATTGCACAAATCAGCGCAAAAGCGTTTACAATGAATTTCAATTTGATCAATCATTCATACAACTTATAAGATTGTTGCAATTAAACTAAATTGTTTTAATATCGTTAGTGATAAGTTACAAATGGCATAAATCATTCCTAAACTATAATGATTAATCCAGTAAAAAACTATCGAATGATTAACCTAAAATTTTTAATTCTATAAAATTTGAAATCTTAATTATTACAATTTAACAAAGAAGAAAAAGAGGAAGTTATACAATCAAACCTCAAACTATAGAACTATAGAAGGGTTACATCTAGACTAATATTTTAATGGTTAATATTATAGTTTTCAAAATTTACATAATAAATTTTTTGGTTAAATTGTAGTAATTCTATCAACAATTTATTATATACATCATTATAATTTAGAGAGAGAGAAAAAAAGCAAAATAATATAAGAAAGAATAGAGAAAAAAGAGCAAAATAATATGAGAGAGAGAGGGGCAAAATAATATAAGAAAAAATAGAGAAAAAAGCAAAATAATATATGCAAAAAAAGAATGAAAAATGCAAAAAAATAGAGGGGAAAAAGGCAAAAAAATATATATATACATATAAGCACAAAAATAGAGAAAGAAAAAAGAAAAAAAAATACGAGCAGAAAAAATAGAGAGAGAGAGAGAAAAAAAAAGCAAAATAATATAAGAAAAAAATAGAGAAAAAAGCAAAATAATATTGCAAAAAAACAGAGGGGAAAAAGGGCAAAAAAATATGACCAAAAAAATAGAGAAAAAGAAAGCAGAAAAAATATAGAGAGAGAGAGAAAAAGGAAAATAATATAAACAGAAAAGATAGAGAGAGAGGTACTCAAAAAAAAAGATAGAGAGAGAGAAAAAGGCAAAATAATATAAGGAAAAAAAAAAGAGAAAAAAGCAAAAAAAAAAATCGAGGGGAAAAAAGGCAAAAAAATATGAGCACAAAAATAGAGAACACAAAAAAAGCAGAAAAATAGAGAGAGAAAAAAAGCAAAATAATATAAGCAGAAAAAATGACAGGAAAAAAAAAAAGCAAAAAGAAAAAAGAAATAGTGTCGCCTGAGAGATTCGTTGACTCGCGAGGAAACCCCACGTACTTAGCAGGCACACGCCTTAACCACCCGGCCAAAGCGACGGATTTGATACGAAGCTCTAAATGTAAATATATAATAAATATGTGATTATATGTTTTTTGCGATTAATATCAAAGTAGTCTCTATTATTTTACATATTTCGATATGGCCATTATCGTTTGGTGAAACCTGATTAATTGTATGTATCGTTACTATATTAAATATGTATCATATTTTCTATTTGAGCTTGTATTTTATAATTTGGCTTACTAAGTTAGCTACCCACCTGTGCTATGAGTATAAAATAAAGTATTGATTTTTTATATTTCACCAAATTAAAACTAAACTAATTTTTTTTAGTTCAACAATTGTAGAGGTGGAAGATTGAACTGTAAACCTTAAAGAGTAATATGTGTCTTATACAAGTTCGAATTGACAACTAAATTCAAATCCGAGGGATTAAATGGAAACTTTTGAAATCATACCCAACCAAGTTAACAATTTGATATGATGTTTAATCAAATTCACGAGCAGAAGGAAGGAAAAAGCACACACTATGAAGGCATTTGTTTGATTAATTTATATTTTAACATTTTTAACATTTAAGAATAGGCTGGCAAATATATATTTTAGTTCTTTGGTACTTTTTTCAATTTAATTCTTACTATTTAATACATTTCAATTTAATCTCTCATATTTTAACATTTTTTATTATACTATTTATAGTTGGTGAATGTTAATGGCTAATGATAAGCTTTACATGGCATAATACTAAGTGAGTTGGCACAAATTTAGATCAAGAATCAAAATGCTCAATGGTAGAAAATTTCTAATGTCTCCTCCAAATTTTTTAAAGTTGAATGAAATTTCAACTTTATTTCCTCGAGTGACTCAATTTCTTCTCTAAACTTCTATCAACTCAAAATTTATCATCGCCTAATTTTAATATTCACCAACAAGAACAACATTATTGAAAAATATTACAATATTAGGGACCTGAATCGAACCATTTTAAAAAATGAAGACCAAAGTGAAAAACGCCTAAACATTAAAGACTAAAAATTCTTAGCCTTCTAAAATATTATATCATAAATAAACGGTGAAAGTCCGTACTTACAGCATTTTAGAGAAGACAAAGTTATAGCAATTATGTTTGGCAACCCTAAGTACCATTTTGAAGCATGTTCATGTACTTATTGGCATTTAAGATTCAATACAATTATTTTCAACATTATAATTATAATACATCTCTAGTTGTCACACCTAATATACCTTTACTTTAAAATATTTTAAACCATGAAATGAAATTAAAATTATAATAATTTAGGACTAAAATGATCGATTCGATCCCCCATTAAAATTTTTCAAACGTACCCAAATTAATTAAGCTTTAAACGAACGACAATAATAATAACATTAACACTTTAAAATTTTGTCTATTTTATTTTAGGTATACCAAAACATCTATTTTGGTCCCTTAATTTTTTTTTAATCTAATTTTTTAGGTCTCAATTCCAGTATAACACTCCCTTCATAATGTAGCATAACTTTGTATAAAAAGTTTCCACTATGTATAGGACCATAATGATCACTTTTTAAAAGTCTAGGAACAACGAGGAATGTTTGACCAAAATAGACCGTTTGAAAAACCGTAAGTGCAATGCAAACCCATATATAAAAGTCACAATACACATTTAAAACCTATTGGGTGGAGTTGGGAGTATGTATTACATATCAAACAAAGTTTAAAGCCAGAATCAGAATTCACAAAACCAAACCAGTAGAAGATATTCTTATGCTACAGACATGGACATTATCTGGCGAGCAATACCTGGATCTTGTTGCAACAGCTCCCTCAAGTTGTTCTCCACCTCCGCCATTTGCTTCTCTAAATACTCCTTTGATGTCTGCAAAAATGATTATGGAATTCGTCTTCGTGAAGGGAGGAAGAAGAAAAGAGCCAATACAAAACTATAACAAGCGAAGGCAAATGTGCTGACTTCTGATATATGCATGCAAATGTAAATCTTTCAAGAAAAGGTGAGAAGTTCAAAGGAAGATTTCTTGTCCCTGCAGAGGAAAGAGATATGTACCTGCAGTGAGGCGATTGCAGCTTCACTATCCTTTAGCTTCTGCTCCTGTTCATTCATTAAAACTGACTTTGGCTCTAGAACAAACCTGGTCAGCACGATATAGAAACAAGAAATAGACAGCACAAAGTAAGAGAGTTTCATCTGTGTAATATGAGAAATAAAAAATAAAATCTAACTTTAAGTCGTTTGGATAATTGTAGCATCACTCACGTTCTCCCTGCACCATAAGAATGAGGGCAGAAAATCAGTGGTAAATAAACTCAACATGGAAAAGTTGAAAACTTAAAACACCTTTGGCTAACCATGATTTAGGCAAAGAGTGAACAACCTTCTAGTTAAACAATAACGCGTTGTTAAGTACCTATAGATTTGTAAGCATTAGTGTCTTCAGACAACTGTCGAAGTTCCTCCAAGGTTAAGAAAGCACGCTTCTTTTCACCCTCCTTGTTTCGTATCTGGGTCTGCACCTGAAAAACAAGGTAAAACCAGGCTTTGCTTTTAAAGTCAAGAATGCTCCGTTCACATGAAGTGACGCATTGAAGAACTGAATTTGTCCAGAAACTAAATACTGAGATTTTGAGGGCTTACCTTAACTTCAACACTAAATATTATGTCCTTGACATTTCAAAACTAACTTTAGTTAGAGAGCTTGACAAAGAGACTTACATGTGTTTTTTCATACGTAATTTCAATAAAATATAACAGCTTTGATGCAAGACTGATAAAGAAAATGTCAGATTTGCATAAGTATTATGCCGTCAACGATGAAAATAAGGTCTCGATCTCCACAAATATATCATCCCTCGAACCTCACACCAAACACATTCGAAATCCACGTTTATTACATTTTACTATCAACTACTCGAGTTACAATAATACTGACCATTATTCTGTAGATTCAACACATGGTTGATAAAAAAGTGTAAATTGTATAATTGTAAATTTTGTATATCATATAAATTGTGTAACCAACAGTTTAGACTCTAGGAACTCAAATGCAACTTGTGAAGATAGAGGGGATAAAATGACCAAATAAGAAGAATTATCACTGATGAGTTCATGAGAATGATCACACGATTCAAAGTATAAATATCTCTAGAGAAATGGGAGTTCAGTGGGAAAGAGATTCACATGTGCAGGGGAAGTGGGCCTTGGGATTGGCAATGCTCTAGTTTCAAAAAGGCTTTAGAACTTAGAAGTTCTCTCAAGAACCTAATGCCTCATGCCATAAGGACATAGCAGGTAAATTTGGTCTATATGACCTTGGCAGATGCTCTAGCACGAATAAAAGAGCTAGCTATCATCATTTTTTATAATTTGGAGTCGGAGCTTTGCTCTCCTATATCCAAGGGCACTTGTACCCACTCCAAGGCCTAGACCCAGGAGACATCTAAAAGAACTAGCTATCATACAGAAGGCGCAGAAAAATTCTCTTAATCTTTTTTCTTCTGGAGTCTTTTCGTTCCATTAATTACTACAACTATCACCACGACTACTTATTCTCTCTCTTTTCTTCAATTTTCGGATTCATTATAAAGACCAAATTGATTAGAAAACAGAAAAATAACCAAACAAGTCAACATACTTTCTTAACAAGCAGCAAGATAATAACAAACTTCCAAAAGAATTAAAAAAAGAAAACGAAGTAAACAACAAATGAATATATAAGAAACAAAAGAACCAGCATTCATCAGCTACATTAATTGACCTGGGAAACATTCATTCATTTCCAATAACTTTTCATCGTCTACACAACACGTATCAGATCAATCCAGGCAACAATTACAAAAATCTTTCACTTCTACAAGTTCAGAAAACATTAAATTAAATCATTCCCAATAAGTCCAAGAAATGAAAGGGAAGTACCTGCTTCAGCTTTCCAGTCACCTCGATCATGCGACCTTGAATTTCCAAGAAAGCCTATGATTCCAGAAAGAAAACAAGAGCTCGGGCATCAGTAAAATGCGAGTGATGAAGGGGAAAAACAAGATTAAAAGAGTAAAAATGCTCACAATTCTGTTGGCCTCGTCCGCCATTTCTAATTATTTCGAATACTCAGAATCAGAGTTCGCGTAGACGATGTTAGATTACGAACTCGCAAATTCTAGGGTCCGTCTGATGTAATTCGGATCTATCGGGTCGGACTCTAATTATATTATTAAAAAACTACTCATAGATCTCTATAATTTTTTTTTTTAATTATAGTATTCGATTAAAATTCTAGAGAATTATAAAAATGGTTTTTTCATCAATTAATTACAACTTAAAAGTGTCGAGAATTTTTTCTAAAGAAAACAGTTAACTAATTTCCGACTAAAAATAAATATGTAGAAACGATTTCTGATCCAATCAAATACAATTCGAAAGGGTTTTTTTTTCCTTTTAAAAGATGAATTTCTATACAAAATACATGTTTATATCAAGACACACTTAAACTTCAAGCATATTATTAATTGAAAGATTACTTAATTTTATGGGCCCACATATTTTTAACTATTTCAAAAGTTTATTTTAAGTTTTGAAATTTGAAGAATATATAAAATCTTTTAGGGTCTGTTTTGATTGGTGATATAAAAACATGAATCTATAAACAATGAATTCAACGTAAACAATGACTGTATTCTATGTATTTTTGTTGTTTTTAAAGTATGTGTTTGTAAGTTTATTAAAAAGTTGAATTTGAATTTAATAATGTTTTGAAGTTGTGTTTTCTAACGTACTCATAACAATGAAAATAAAATAGATAATAAAACAACCGGTTTGGTTTGATTTGAAAATTTATTAATAAATATATTATCATATTTTAGGTTGTAAAAATTATTTAATTAAATAATTAAAGACATAGTATGATACATTATGATTTATAATATTATTTTCATTTTTATTAAAAATAAAATAGATTCATAGTATAGTATTGCACATCCAATAAAGTTTGTACTATATCAATAATAACTACCATCACAATTTGTCTTGTTATATAATAATATAGTACTATGTTCTTTAAAGTTCGCAATAATAATGGAAATAAAGAAAAATATTTAATGCATATTACATGAATTTATATATGTCATCAATTATAATTTAAATATGACTGCCAGAATATAGTTCAACTGATTAAAATATTTATATCCGATCAAAAAGTCATGAGTTCGAATCCTTATATCAACATCAGTATTATAGCTTAAATATGACTGTCAATATGAGTATAGTTCCACTAATTAAACATCTATCTTCGATAAAAAGTCGTGAATTCAAATCCTCGTCTACTCGCTAAATTTCTTGAAACATGGTAATAGATTTGTTTCAAAGGGTTTCCATTACATATAAGTTTATGTTAAAATTTTGTCAACAATGATCAAATTAGTCACTTTTTAAAAGCACATAGATCAAAATGAACGTTTTAAAATTACGTTGACCCAAATGAACACGGTAAAACTACGTGAACTAAAATAAAACAAAGTAAAAAATAAACCGATGAAAATAATATTTAAACCTTTATTCAGTCGAAACTATTGTTGCTTGTCGCAGTAATGCAATATTTCAGCATTGATTTTTCACAGAAACCACTGTGTGGAGAAAATACCAAAAAAGAAAAAGAAAAAAAAAACCCTAAAAAGTATATGGTTTAGCCTAAATGCAAAGGGGTGATGGGAGTGATATCTCTATTGCGCATATAACTCAAAAACTGTTCAGGCAGCTCCTCCAAAAGTGCTTGTACTAAAGATATCTGCCCACCTGCAATGTCATAACCCAAAACATAACAACTTTTAAATACAAATAATATTATTATTTTACTCGAGCTTTATCTTTATCTTTTAGTAACTCTTTTGGCTCATCAATCTTGACAGAATTCTATTTTTGGATCGGTTGTTCGTTTGAACGTTTTGGACTTTGATACCATATTAATATTCATGGGGTTTCATCTCAAAATCAATTGACAATGGGAGTAGTCCAAGTCTATTATAAATCTATGTAAGATCCTTTCTTTTATCGATATGGGATCCTTAACACTTAGATATCCTATTTCTGTTTATGTTTTCTAATCTCTCTGGTCTTTTTAATGCATTTCTAGTTCCTATGGTTTAATCTTGAGTTCATAAATAAAAATTAACTCAGAGTATTAATTAACGGAGTATAAGAATAATTTACAGAGTGCATCTGATTCAGTTTAAGCTCATTCATTGAAAACACAAAGAAGAGGAAACTAGATTAATTTTTATTATGAATCTAATATTACTATTCAGAAGTTCGTAATTTTTTAATTATTTGAAAAAGTAAGTGTTACTTACTGTGCACTTCTCGCATTGAAACAAACTGTACGATGTCTCTTGTTGCTATGCGACCCGTAGAACTCTCCAATCGTTGTCCGTTATCCGCATCAAGAACCTGTAGCATAGCATAATATGAAGTGTTCTTGACATTTTAATATGTTAGGATCATTTAATCTTTGATATTTCCTGTTTATATGTAAACAATGATAAAATAATATTTTTTTTATCTATATTTTGGAAAAAAACCAAAAATATAAATTAGAAACGAGAATCCAAGAAACTTGATTTTATTGTTTCCGAAATTTTTACGCAGTTTTAAAAATGTTTCTAAAACATGAGGAACGAGAAACAAGAATATATCACATACTAATGTTTCTAAAGAAATAAATGAGAAATAAGAAAAGAAAACGTTATCAAACAGAACTTTAATGTTCACGAAATGAAGGTCGGTTTGAAACATATATGTACCTCCATTTGTTTAAAATCTGCCCCTCCCACTCCCACTACAAGAATTGACAGTGGAAGATCAGATGCCCTCACTAAAGCATCCTTTGTTTCTTGAAGGTCAGTAAGGACTCCATCCTACAGATTAGTCAATTCAAATCAACCACAGAGGTTAGTAAGTAAAAATTTCCCCTTCTAACATTTTAAAAGCATCAATTCACTCTTAAAATAGCATTTTATGTAATTTATCTCGTTTCAATTTCGTCTCTTTAACATTTTAAAAGCTCACTTTTAAATCTTTATTAACAAAGGCAACAGATAGAACTAATAGAGGGTTTTTTTTTAAAAAAAAAAAAGAAAATCAAAACATTAAAAGTAAAATTGAAACCAAATAGATCATATAGATAGATTAGCCAGATATTGTATAAGTTAACTTGAAATTAGCAACAAAAAAAGTTGATTAGGAACTTACTGTTATGATAAGCAGGACAAAATACTTATTTATGTTGGCAAAAAGGGAGTGGGCAGCAATTTCTGCAGCCTTGTTAATCACTTGGCCGAATAAAGTGGGCCCACCCAAAGAAACATGGCGAAGAGCACTTGCATATGCACCCATGATGCCTTCAACTCCTTCCACCTATAATTAAGTTGAAGTTTAAGGTAAATGTATGGGAAAATAATAACCAAAGAAGAAGATACATATCAGCTTAATATAGAGTTAAACTATATTTATAAATTTAGTTATTTGAATTTTATATTTCTATTTAATCTTTATCGTTAATATCATTGACGAAACAGTGATTACATATGTTATTAATCTCTTTACTTATATATTAGAATTCAACCAAAATATACCTAATAGACATACCACATATTGTTAATATCATTAACGAAATG